ATTTGCCATCATGATGCTGCGATCGTGAACAGTTCTTACTGACAGAGGCATGTCTTTTATTCGTTTGATTACCTTGTCTTTATTTGGGAAGTCATCAAACAGTTCATTGGCCACATCAAGCATGAATGTTTTGGCATACTCGCCATCTGATTGAACAAGAATGGCTTTCCATTCCTTACTATTGCCAAAGCACCCGCAAAGCTAGCGGAATTCCCGTCACCTTGCTTGGTCCACACACGTAGTTGCTGCTGACTCGTCTGCACTCTCCGCTGTAGCTCTTCGCATGCCTTTTTCCTGCTGTCCCCCGCTGGATATTTCGATGCAAATGAAGCATGGTGCGTATCGAAGTGCCGCTTTATATTTGACCATTTCATCGATGCAATTTTATCATTGCATATTAGACATACCGCAGATCCTCTCTCCACAAATGCAAATTCCTCTGTCCACGCAGCCTGGAATGCACGGTAATCATCGTCTTTTTTTCTTTTCGCCATATTTTCCGTTACAAGGGTTGAAGCGGATAAACTAGTTGGCTATCTGATCAAATGGATTTCTTCACCTTTACAATGACCCGTGACATGCTCGCGAGCCATTGGTTCCCGACCCGACCCACGGGTCACGGGGCCCGTGACCCGTGAAATTTATCTTCAAAACTAATTTCTGTTTACTTTAAAATGACACAGTATTATTAAGCAATATCACAAGTATTTTAAAATCAGTTCCAAACTGATTTTTTTATTATTATTTTTTTTCAACTCAAAATTGTCTGGGAGCCATATGCCGTCACCGGAAGAGCCATATATGGCTCGCGAGCCATAGGTTCCCAACCACTGATCTATATCATGAGACCTCCTTTGCCAGTACCAAAATATAATAGGTTTTTCCCTTTTTTTCTGGCAACAAAACTGAAACCTTTTTACAAGGAATCATGTCTGCATTAACCACAATACTTCAGAATGCAAACAAAAAACACAGCGCAATTTGCATCGCCGCAGCTTGTGTTACACATAGACATGAAATTAACTTGCTAATCCCCCTAATCTCTCCCATCAACAGTGCTAATCTCCTATTAACACTGCTGTTGTGCGCATATGCGGGGACGATACTCTTATGCGGCGACGGAAGCTCATTTAATGCTAATTTCTCTCCCTAATCTCTCTCTCCCTAATCTCCCCCATTAACACAAATTACGTGCTTGCGTGTGGGGACGGAATTCCTTTTCAGCTCAGACCCTGCCTGCTTGACCTTCGCCACATATATAACCGCTTGTGTGTAACAGCTCTCTCGCTGTATTCTTCCTGGTTCAGCAGTTCTACTGCTGGATTGTTTTTTCCGCCAGAGGACGACCGCTTGTGTTGTGATCAAAACGTCGTGATCTATTATTTTGTATTTAATTTTTCTACCTACGTGACTTTACCGAAAGAACCAAAGAGTATGGATTCCTGCAGTCACGAGAGCTTCAAATCAAGATACAAGAACCCATGGATGACATTTAAAAATTTTATTTTAACGCTCTCTTCAGTGTGATACTTAAATATGTTATGATTGGTAGTTTGTGCTCTCCAGTTGTCAGGGTGAAAAGTGGGCAAAGTCTTGTTCAATCATGAACAGCTGGCTAAACAAACTTATTGAACATGTTTCATTCTTTGGTTCTTTCAGTTAAGTCACGTCTAAAGATAAAATAATAAATTAAAATAATAGCATATTACGACGTTTCGATTGCAACACAAGCAATCATCATCAGGCATAAAAGAAATAGCAACATAAATCTAACTAGAAAACTATAGACAGACATACAAGCAGACAGACATCACAAGGACACACAGAGAGAGGACACATATCGGCACAAAGGGAGGGGTCGTTTCTGTGACGGTCCCTTAAATATAGAGAGGGGGGGCGGGGACGGAGAGAGGGAGGGGGCAGAGAAAATTAGCATTTAATTTTAGTGTGCCTTTCTCCTAATTTTCAAGCTTGCGTGCCGTGCCACGTCGTCATCTTACTTGCGCAGCAGCAGCACGTTGCCGTCCACTCATTGATATGCTAATTTTCTCTGCCCCCTCCCTCTCTCCGTCCCCGCCCCCCCTCTCTATATTTAAGGGACCGTCACAGAAACGACCCCTCTCTTTGTGCCGATATGTGTCCTCTCTCTGTGTGTCCTTGTGATGTCGGTCTGCTTGTATGTCTGTCTATAGTTTTCTAGTTAGATTTTTGTTGCTATTTCTTTTATGCCTGATGATTGCTTGTGTTGCAATCGAAACGTCGTAATATGCTATTATTTTAATTTATTATTTTATCTTTAGACGTGACTTAACCGAAAGAACCAAAGAATAATTCCTGCAGTCACGAAAGCTCCAAAATTAAGATTGTTGAACATGGTCCCCTTTTGGCATTGTTCTGGTGGTGAGACAAGGCCATAAAGAAGGCTGTCTCTGGTGTAGGCCAATCCGTTTCAGAGACAATGCGTAGATTATCAAGACCATGTTTGTTTGCTTGTTCACCACAAGTATGGGTGGTTAATGCAGCCTTGACGCCTTGCAAAATTTTTACTGAGAAACAAACAGAGCTGCCATGTTAAAGTCACTGGCTGTGTGTGCTTACATCCCCTATAGACAAAGGGAGCTGCCATATTAAAGCCACTGTCTGTATGTGCTTACATCCCCTTTCAACTGTAACACGGGGCAGCATTCCTCAGCAATAATGACCGATTGCCATCTAACCCGTCTGTAAAACGTCCCTCTCTAGGCGCGCAACAATTTGTAATCCCCCAGAGCTTGTGAATCTACGCTATCTTAACTTTGGAGCTTTCGTGACTGCAGGAATAATTCTTTGGTTCTTTCGGTAAAGTCACGTATAAAGAAAAAATAATTAATTAAATAATAGCATACGACGTTTCGATTGCAACACAAGCAATCATCATCAGGTATAATGAAATAGCGACATAAAATCTAACCAGAAAAAATTATAGACAGACATATAAGCAGACAGATATCACCAAGATACAGAGCGGGCAACACAGGTACAGAGAGGGGTGATCGTCTCTGTGGGGTGGCCTTAAATAGACAGAGGGGGGCGGAGGCAGCGAGAGGGAGGGGTTATAGACAAAATTTACATGTCAATGAGTACAAAAAGAAGTGAGCAGGCTTAGGGAGAGAAAGAAACACACTAAAATTAAATAACCTAGCAAAGCATCGAAATGTTATGTAAAACGACACAGAGAGTCGGTCAACACACAATTAACGCATAGCCTGGTCGATTACGTATTTCAAATATTGCTAAAGTTAGAATTTAAGTGTGAAAATTTCAAAGAAAGACAAAACATAAAAACAAGAGGGACGGAGACACACAGACAGAGCAGAACCTAAGAACGACAAAAAACGAGTGTAGACAGAAAAAATTACACTAAATAATACGTGACTTTACCGAAAGAACCAAAGAATAATTCCTGCAGTCACGAAAGCTCCAAAGTTAAGATTGAACCACTTCTACGGGGAAGTTCCAAGTTTACCTTTTTTCTCTCTCTCTGGGTTTTTTATTCTCTCTCTCTGCCTGTTTATTTAGTGTAATTTTTTCTGTCTACACTCGTTTTTTGTCGTTCTTAGGTTCTGCTCTGTCTGTGTGTCTCCGTCCCTCTTGTTTTTATGTTTTGTCTTTCTTTGAAATTTTCACACTTAAATTCTAACTTCGCAATATTTGAAATACGTAATCGACCAGCCTATGCGTTAATTGTGTGTTGACCGACTCTCTGTGTCGTTTTACATAACATTTCGATGCTTTGCTAGGTTATTTAATTTTAGTGTGTTTCTTTCTCTCCCTAAGCCTGCTCACTTCTTTTTGTACTCATTGACATGTAAATTTTGTCTCTAACCCCTCCCTCTCGCTGCCTCCGCCCCCCTCTGTCTATTTAAGGCCACCCCACAGAGACGATCACCCCTCTCTGTACCTGTGTTGCCCGCTCTGTGTATCTTGGTGATATCTGTCTGCTTATATGTCTGTCTATAATTTTTTCTGGTTAGATTTTATGTCGCTATTTCATTATACCTGATGATGATTGCTTGTGTTGCAATCGAAACGTCGTATGCTATTATTTAATTTATTATTTTTTCTTTATACGTGACTTTACCGAAAGAACCAAAGAATAATCTACGCTATGTTTGAGGAATGGGCCCTTGCCTTGTTTGTAATGTTGATCTGTACCATCAACCGGACCATGTCCCGTGTCGTATTCAATTTGTATCGTCTGCTTTTGGTCTGCGCCATCTCATCCAACAGTGACTCATTGGTGCTACATCTTGCACGTTCTGACAATGAGCAGAATTGGCACAGAATTTAAATCTTAAGAGTAATATTATACAGCTACCTCTCGTCTTACGTGGGTGTCGTGTCATTGGGGTGAGGGCGAGCACGCTATTATGCCTCAATCTTACATCTACATATTTCACTGGTTACAGAAGGTACATATTATATTTACAAAACCTACAGACATGAGTTAAATAGAGTAAACAGCCCTGTTTAAATAAGTAAAATATTTTAAAAAATAAAGTAAAAAAACCTTTTTAACACGTAGTGAGATTCTTACCAGACATAAAAGCAAATGAGCGCACAAGACAAAGTTCACGCGGGACAAAGATCTTCAAAACGTCGCGCGAGGAGGAAATGCTGACTGATGCTGCTGTCCCACGCTTCTGGTCGTTGTCATACTGCTGCTGCACCTCAAGCAACATCACTACCGAAACGTTGCCGCCCTTACTAACGATCAGCTCGCAGCGCATTCCGTACAGCGTGGAACCAAAGCGCTCAAGCGCGTTATTACAACAAAAGTTGCGCGCGTAACAAAAATAAGTGGAAATTAATCTGATGCGCCAATTCCAAAATTGCGTACGTAAACGCACGTAAAACGCGAGGCGAACGTAATAATCGCAATGCACGCATCATGAGCGTGACACACATTAATTACACCGTGACGACACGTAAACATTTATCTCCACGCGTGCGCACAGTACCTGGCAAGCTCTAAGAAGACGAGGGCATCTCTGAGCGACACCGGGACATCGTTCTCCACCTGGCTGTGTGGGGACTTCACGAGGTCCACGATGAATGTGCCGCCGGCTCTGGCAGCCACGACCATGTGGACAATCTGTCCACGGAGCATCGTTGCAAACGCTTTGCTTGACTCCACACTCCAACCCTGACCCTGAATAATCGCACAAAGCCAGACATAAAAAACACAACGGGGGAAGAAAAAACCATGACACACGACACGGCAAATGTGACCACGTTCTCCCGCCGTCGTCACATTAATACACAATGTGTACATGCAATAATACACCGATTGTGCTCGGCAGTATGCATTGTTACATGCACATTTCTTCCTTTGTGATGTAGAGTATATACTAATTAAAAAACTGCACAATTAACATTTTTTCATACAATTTAAACACAAAAATCTCATTGTATTCTTAACCTCAGCCAAGTGGTTCCCCCCGCCTCATTTATGTTTAACATCTTTCGAGAGAGCCCAGCTTCAGCCTAATAAGTTAGAGCGACATCTTGCCTCTAAACAACGAGTTGTCATGATGAGGGGAAATGTATTGCAGCCAAATACTCTAAAATGCACGATGTCGAATCTAAATGTGGAGGGGAAAACCTAGAGGACCTGAAGAAATATCCAGGCAATCCTTGGGTTGAGCATACAAACTCCAAATATACAGTAGGCGTCAGGGTCGGGATCGAACCCATAACCTCCTGTATACCAAGCAAGGTAGTTAAAATCTCAATGGTCAGCCAGGTCACTGACTGCACATACATAAGGTTCAATCTTGTTTCACACTTAAACGTGTGGCCAAATTCCAGCTCTGAGATGTAAACATTTGGTTTGATTGACATGCGAGAAACACCTTTGCAAGAAATTAAAATGTGTGCCTAAAATGTGGGTGAAGGTCCAGAAACAATTCTCTGATGTAACCCGTCTGGGAGCCATTCACGGACACGAAGTGATGCACTGCTAGTAACAGAACTGGAGAGGGCATCTCACTGCTCGATGCTGACAGCACAATTGTAACTGGGGAAAAACTATAAAATAACGAAGCCATAAAGAACACACGCGGTTCATTTCTGCAATTGACTCTCCCGAGTTAACCTGCAGAGTAACATGTGGCTGTCTCGGCCCACGTTAGGATTGTGGCGTGCAACTCACCGTGACGACGATTGTGACGCGCGACTCTACATGACGACCATTGTGGCGTGAGTCTCCGTGATGAGGATTGTGGCGTACAACTCACCTTGACAACGGAGGTGGTGTGCGAAAACTGTGACGATTGTGGTGAGTCACCGTGATGACGGTCATGGCGCGAGTCGCCGTGACGAAAGTGGAGGCGTGCGACTCACCGCGACGAAGGGCACCACATCCTTGAGAGCACAGCGTATGGCAGCCGCTGGGATTTTCTCGAACAGCTTCAGGAGCTCGTGGTCTGGACGACGAAGGTGTGGCCTCAAATCCGAAACCACGCATGCGGCATTCCTTCTGCTCCGCTTGAGCGCACGTTCACTGGAACGGACGTGTACAGGTGTGATGAGTAATACGTCCATGGCAGACATAATAATGCGGGGTATCCATTTACGAACGTTCGGTTTACGGAATTTTACGTGAACGCCAATTTACAAATTATGGACGCTTTTTCGATGAAGGAAATCGGATTTCGCCGCAAAAAAAATGTCACTAGGGCCACACGCGCCATGAGATCGGCAAACAAGCAGCCACCACGGTATCCCTGCAGTGCAACAGCAATGCCTCCACATGACCTTGCCGGGTATTCCAACACGCAGGGGATCTTTTGCGAGATCCCTGAAAAGGTTAATTATCTTTTAATTATTCTTGGTTCTTTCGGTAAAGTCACGTAGAAGGGAGATAATAAAATAATATAAATATAAAACAATTAAAAATATATTTATATTATTTTATTATCTCCCTTCTACGTGACTTTACCGAAAGAACCAAGAATATGAATCCCTGCAGTCACGAAAGCTTTAAATCAAAATTTATCTTTTAATTATTATTCAATCGCTTCAATATTTGTTAATATTTTTATCTTTTGAAATGCAATATCGGCGTGTTTTTAGGTTAGAAGTAGACTTGGAATGACTACATCCATAATTGTTAGTGTTAAACTGAAGGGAATAAGTGTTTCCGATTTAGGAAATTTCGTTTTTACGCTGTGTGTGTATTTGAAGAACGCATCCCTTCTGTAAATTGAGGGATACCTGTACAAGGCTGAGAGTGCATTTCAAATTACTGTTGGCTCGACGCTGGATCTCAGGGTGGGTGTTTATATTATACTGCATCCTTAAACTTTAAACTCCATCTGTCCCACAAATAAGTAAAAAAATCACCACACTTTATTTCTAACAGAATGCAGTCAATGAGATTTAAAAAAATTGCTTTACAAATGGCTTTGTCTCACCAGCGTTAGACCAGAGAACGCCAAAAGGCGAATGGTATAAAGTCTTTGTACTGTTCGCGAACAAGGCCATAAAGGCAGTCTATGGTGTAAGGCCAATAAGTTTCAAGGACAACGCATGTTTTGCCACAAATGTGTGGTTAATGCAGACTTCATGCCTTGCAAAAAGTAACTATTTTGGTGGTTGAACTTCTTAATGCAACTTAAGGGGTAAAATCTATTCTTATTTTTCATAATTTTGATCCTGGCTTAAATGCGCAAAAGAGAAAATAACGTCGGATAAAATACCAGCGCAGAGAAATTAACAAGACGCTCGTTAAAAACGAGGCAGGAATGAATCCCAAAAAACGATTTGATGAGGTTCTGGAGCTCATTAGGGCCGAGGTCGGTTTAGATATCACCTCACTGTTGACCATGGCTGGAGATGAAACTCGAGATCTCACAGTGGTCATCATCACAGCACCAGCCTATGCCCCGTAACACGGCTTACACCCCCGCAACGAGGATCACCCAGCAGAGAAGTTGGGAAATTAAAAACCCTTAAGTGGAGAAATGCAGGAAATATCAGAGTAAGATGGAAAAGAGAAGCATGTGGATTATTGCACCAAATTCGGCCACCAACTCCCCAAATGTAAGGTTACCGAGCATCGCTTGCCACCGGGCCATTTAAAAAGTCATAAATAAATGCAGGCACACACGCACATCTTAAAGTTGTTCTTATTTAGAATGACAATACCTTCCCACGTAAAAGACTTCCGTTCTTCCTTCATCCACCAGGAAAACGTTAAGCCTGGTTACTTTGTCAATGGGAAATGACGACGCTCCCTGTGAAACAAAGGCCGGTTTGGGCGACTGAGTGTCAGCGCTTGCTTGGGCTTCAGCTTCCACTCCTGGGCTCCTGTCAGGTGCAGCAGCAACCCCGGCGTCCTCGTGTTCCAAGCCGCATTTCAAGACACTGTCGATCATTTTCATTTCCTCCGAGCAGGGGATCAGATCCAACACCACTCGAATTTTTCCGTCTCTCATTTTGCCGATTCCACAGCCAAGTTCGGCGCTCTTATGGGGGGACAGGTTCCATTCAGCGACATCGCCCTCTCCACGCGCATCCGCGCGTTTGCCTTCCGGGTCCTCTCGCTTTTGCGAGCTCGTGGTCGAGCCACAAATGCCGGGGGGTTCGGGACACGTGCATTCAAGCAGAGGGAGGTAATCTGCCTCGACAACGCCACAGCCGCCACCGCCACTTTTCTCATCCGCATGCAGGGTCTGCCCGGCGTGGGGCGAGCCCTGCTCAGCAGCGCTGCCTCTCGCCCCCACAACGCCCTCATCAGCCACGTGCCCAGCTTCCACAGATGACGTAATTTCGGCCGCTGTCGCCACTCCAAAGGACGCGTCGTTTTCCGACCCCCGCTCGTCGAGAAATGGTTCAGTGCCCGTCGAGTTAGGGACGCCTTCCGATTCAAGTGGAACTTCGTCACGGTGGAAAATTGGCACCGTGCTTTGCAATGCGACGCTTTGTAAAGGCCCGAGGCTAGCCGTGCCCTCTCTTCCCTCCACTTGCACAGAACCGCACAACTCCTCGCCGGCCTGGATGGAAATTATTTTGACGCGATGCCACTTATTGCTGACGCAGCTCCGCATGCACAGAACCTCGCCTGCAAGAACGAAACGCGAATTAGTCTGTTGGTGGCCTACTCGGCGCAGTAGTTACACGTCACAAGTTTACTTTTCAGAATTCACATTTTGTTTTGGATTTCAAACCTAATTCCTCCTGGCAACTCAAAAGCAGCTAAAATTATAACCTTTTGTCACATTTCATCATTTTGTTGTTATAAGAAGATTTACATGACCGTAAAGCTATCCAGTAGTCCCTCCGTCAACGTTTTTAATCCGTTCCACGAAAACTGTTAACCTAAATAACTGTTAATCGAATATAGGAATTACATGTTAAAAGCATGACTCCGTTCCACTGCCAAAACAGAAGTAATGTAAATAAAGCTAGTCGAGGTCTAAACACCCATAAATGGGTGTCGCTGACTGGCTGACAGCATGGCTCAGCCCCTCTTACGAGCACTCAGAATGGCCAAAATTGGCGGCCGCGTGCATAAATGCCTTGCAGTCAATAACAACCAAGTGATTAGACGACACAAAGGCGTCATCTGGTTCAACCCATGTGAGACTAGGCTCTAAGGAAAGCTGTCTCGGGTGTGGACCAATCAACTTCAAGGACAGTGCATACATTATCAGAGTTATGTTTTTGGTTTGCATTATGACTGCAGGTATTGTGGTCTATGCAAACATGACTCCTCGTAAAAAAGGTGTCAGTTTTGTTGCCAGATAAAAGAGTAAAAAACCAATTATCATATTTTTTACTGGCAAATGAGGTACCAATGGTGTAAATGCTTACCCCGAGCTCTCATACTCTGATGGTGTATTGTCTTTGAGTTGTGCGCCTTTTGGCATCATCTGGTCCAACCCATGTGAGACTAGGCTCGAAGGAAAGCTGTCTCAGGTGTGGACCAATCAACTTCAAGGACAGTGCATACATTATCAGAGTTATGTTTTTTGTTTGCATTATGACTGCAGGTATTGTGGTCTATACAAACATGACTCCTCGTAAAAAAGGTGTCAGTTTTGTTGCCAGATAAAAGAGTAAAAAACCAATTATCATATTTTTTACTGGCAAATGAGGTACCAATGGTGTAAATGCTTACCCCGAGCTCTCATACTCTGATGGTGTATTGTCTTTGAGTTGTGCGCCTTTTGGCGTCATCTGGTCCAACCCATGTGAGACTAGGCTCGAAGGAAAGCTGTCTCAGGTGTGGACCAATCAACTTCAAGGACAGTGCATACATTATCAGAGTTATGTTTTTTGTTTGCATTATGACTGCAGGTATTGTGGTCTATACAAACATGACTCCTCGTAAAAAAGGTGTCAGTTTTGTTGCCAGATAAAAGGGTAAAAAACCAATTATCATATTTTTTACTGGCAAATGAGGTACCGCCAATGTTGTAAAGATTTGCAACTACTGTACTGTAAGGGTGATCACGTGGGTTTCAGATCAACTAGAGCAACATATTTGTTCGGTTTAAGCACATAACTTGTAATACACATTTCCAAAAATAACAATGTATAACTGTTTTTAGATTATTAATTTGCGCGTAAGGGAAAATCTATTAGTTATTAACTTGTCAAAATCTCAGGTGCGCGATTAATCAGTAAATCGGATAAACCGCACGCGGATAATAGAGTATACCGTATTTTAACAAAAATAACCCTCAACACAAATTTTTTAGGCGTTTTAGGGAGTCGTCCCACTGCCTCCTGGAAATACTTTAAACTGGAGAGACGCACAGACCAGGAAAGTCACCTCTCATGCAATGCAGCCCGGTGAGACGCATTAACTGCCACCCCCTCTAAGACCAAGCCTAGACGTCGCACACATTCTATAATTCTAAAACCTGTGTTGAAACTTGATCTGTGCCTCCTGCAATGGTTCAAAATAAATTATCACAAAAAACGCATTGGGCCACAACTGTCTTGCCTGTGCGTGAGCGTGCGTGTGTGTGTTACCGATGCTGAGGGTTTGTATGGCTGAAGAGTTTTTAGTGTCGACCATGCAGTACATTGAGAGCGCCAAGTTTAGCTTCTCGTTGCGGGAGCGAGCGGCGTAGTACCGCACGTAGAAGTGTCTGGGATTCACCACGTGGGTCAACATCACCTGCTCTGAATGCAACGCGTCTGCGCACGAGCCCACGGCACAACAAAATAAACGATTAACAAAATTAATGCGATTCCACGGACAAATCCACTGCACGTTGTGCACTAGGCACGCGCGTTATGCTGACAAGCATATTTTCCGGCGCATTTTCTCTTACACACCTCATTCGTAGATACCGGCATAAGTTTGATCCAAATATTCCTAGGTTTTTCGGTAAAGTCACGTAGGTAAAAAATTTAAATTAATAAAAGTAAAACAAAACAAAATAAAAATCACGACGTTTCGGAAGCAACACAAGCCTCCGTCTTCAGGTGGAACCGTCACAGCCACGACAGCTCTATCAAGTAAATGAGAGATCACAAGAAATACCACCCCGTATATATAATGGTTGAGGGGGGAAGGGCCAGGAACGGCACACTTTTTTATTAATATGGTAAGGTGAGGCTTAAGACTAAGAATAGACTGCATAACAAAGGACTGAGCCTTTGTTATGAGCCTTTGTTATGGAGAGGTGCGGTTTGTAACTAACACCTAGCATACATAACCAAAGTGTGAAAAAAGAAAGCAACTGGTAAAACAACAAACTGGCTGTCTATCAATAAACTATTACAGGTTATTGATAGACAGCCAGTTTGTTGTTTTACTTGCTTTCTTTTTTCACACTTTTGTTATGTATGCTTGGTGTTAGTTACAAACCGCACCTCTCCATAACAAAGGCTCAGTCCTTTGTTATGCAGTCTATTCTTAGTCTTAAGCCTCACCTTACCATATTAATAAAAAAGTGTGCCGTTCCTGGCCCTTCCCCCCTCAACCATTATATATACGGGGTGGTATTTATTGTGATCTCTCATTTACTTGATACAGCTGTCGTGGCTGTGACGGTTCCACCTGAAGACGGAGGCTTGTGTTGCTTCCGAAACGTCGTGATTTTTATTTTGTTTTATTTTACTTTTATTAATAAAAAATTTTTACCTACATGACTTTACCGAAAAACCTAAAAATATGAATCCTTGCAGTCACGAAAGCTTCAAATCTAGAATTTGATCCAAATATTTGGCAATTGCAAAACGGACCATAATTCACATGGTACGTTTGGGGCTGCTGTTTACAGTTATATTTACTACCTCAGATACCGCCATGCAAGTCTGCTATCCCATGCCTTGCAGTCAATAACAACCAAGTGATTAGACGACACAAAGGCTAAGCTCATCGAGCACCGGTAGAGGGAGAGAGGCAGACGCAGTGTCAGGTAACCTCGTCACCTACCTCCCCGCCCCACCTCGAGTCGTCATTGATAACTCATTTATCCAGGCATGGGCAGTGAAACGCTCCAAGGAGACATTGAGGACTGGACACTCGCTGCTACCCTGTCGGGTGTCGTGTCGGGACAGTGCCTGCCACTTGTTCTTAAGGTTTTCTGTTCGTCTACTGGGGTCATTGCTCTGGTGGACAGATTTGTCCTTGTGGCGTTTGCAGTGCATCCTAACGTATGTTGAATGAAGACCAAAAACTGCATATGAATTAGGCCCGTAACTTATACTGAAGTTGTAACTTATACCCAAGTGAGAGTATTCAATTTTAGTATTTACACAAAAGCATGATAATTTATTCATTAAGCTAAAATAATAAGCACAATGCAGAAATATTGACTTGTGAGTGGCATCACTTCATTTTATTATTTATAGAACATTATGCCCGAGAATGTTTCCCCAATGTGCTGTAATCTGTCACGTGAGTGAGTGATTCCTAACCATGCGAAATCCAGGAGGGCCGATTGCGCAGCAAGTTTGCGTTCCCGATCTTGCACCTTTGAACAAAGCTCGTCTCTCCACCAGCTGGAATCATTCCTACCCAAGGTGAGGGAAAAAAAATAAAACAGCCAAGCGCCAACATCTGGAGAAACACTGAAGGGGTTATAGATAATACATTGACAAGATTTCACTTGACAGTGTGTGACACACTACCACTCATCACGCTCAAGTAGGGGTTGGCTCTCAAAAACAATCGCGTTGCCACGGTACGTTGCTGATGCTGGCTCTAAACACCAACCGAACGAGTCTCACTGCCCCTACTTGTTCCGTGATAATTCGTAGACGACGAGGACATTGGGCACAGTGTCTACGGTGCTGAAGCGGAGCACCGAACCATTTGTGGTTGGAGCTTATTGCAGCGGGATGTTATGGACTATTATGTTGCTGAAAAACGGCCATCGCTCGCTCACATTTACCAAATAATAATACAGGGACTCCTCCACTTACGAGCATTCGACTTACGAGCTTTCAGAGATACGAACAAACCTGTCTCGTATGTGCAGTTGCCTGTTCAGACCGAGAGTCGTAAGTTAAACCACCGCGCAATAGATGGCGGTGGCAGCATCTAAATCTACAGAGCCTGAAGAACCAGTGGCATCTACATCTACAGGAGATAATACAACTATTAAAGCCATTCCTCGTATGTAGTGTACATGCAGCACAACATGATTGGAATTGATATGAGTAACATTGGACTTGTGAACAAATCGACTTATGAACAGACCTATGGAACGTAACTCGTTCGTAAGTACAGCAGTCCCTGTAATGTGTGTTTATGTTGAACTTATCTATGGGACCTATTTGCCAGTATTTAAAATGATTAAAATAAGAATAGGTTTTATACCTTTTCAGGCAATAAAACAGGTGTTAAGATGTTCAAAGAGATACTTTTATTGCCAGAAAGGGTATAAAATTTATTATTTTATCCAATATTTTTGATACTGGCAAAAAGATATCCCATAGATATAACTGCAGGACCCGAGCTATAAGCGTTCTGATACTTGCATTGTCTTTGTACTGTTCGCCTTTTGGCGTTCTCTGGTCTAACGTCGGTGGTGAGACAAGGCCATAAAAGAAGGCTGTCTCTGATGTAGGCCAATCAGTTTCAAAGACAATGCGTATATTATTCTCAGAGCATGTTTGTTTGCATGTTTTTCCACAAGTACGTGTGGTTAATACAGACCTGATGCATTGCAAAAGGTACCTATTTGGTGTTTCAACATCTTACCAACTCCTGTTTTATTTCCAGAAAGGGTAAAACCTATTCTTATTTTTTATATGTTGAACTTCTTTGGCACCGTATGTAGCTAACCGTGCTAATTGTAGGTATAGGGGAAGGACAAGAAACTAAACACAAAAAGCAGTTCTAAATAAATTAGTTTTCAACTTATAATGAAAAGTGCATAGTTCCACTAGTTTCATAATATCGGAAGAGCGTTCGAGATGGCCGCAGTAGTGCATTTGAAATAAAAACAATTATTATTAATAACCAGTGAGGGGCTGCATCCCCTCCGAAACTAAAATATTATTTTTATTTTACCAAGTAAAGCCCACGGAGCTATATAGCTCTTTTTCAGAATCGACTTGGCCACAAATTATAGCTCAATGAAGAGGCTGATCTCGTGGAAATTTATAGCAGCAGCCAAATACTCTAAACGCAAGATGTTGATTCTAAATGGAGGGAAAAACTGGAGGACCCGGAGAAAAAATCCACGCGGCCACGGAGAGACACACGCAAACTCCAAATACACAACAAACGTCGTCGCGACCGAACCCACGACGACCTCCTCCACACCAGGCCAGGGAGATAACATCTCGCCACCGCAGCGCCCCGATGCCCGAGGGGGAGTTCACCTGCATAGACTGACAAACTCACCTCCAGATGTGCCTGGGGAGAGGCAACAGGCGAGCGATGTGGACGATGGCGCTGCAGCAGCAGCGCACACTGCTCCCCCCCCCTTCTTGGACAGCGTCGATGTGGTTGGGGGCGAGTGCTTCAGACCCTGCACAACAGGCATAGAACTCGTTCATCGGAACAATGCCAAGGCCAAGGCAAACCCCAAAGCTACGGACCACATCGTAAAAACAGCTGTCAACTGCGCTCCAACGGGGGGGAGGGGGGGGAGGAATAGCATAGCTGCACCAACTCTCTCCTGGAGCCCTCTCGTGGTCAGCAGACGGCGTTGGCATCTAGCTCCTCAACACATTGCCGTGCACAAGAACATAATCGACCTAGTACTCTTAATATCAGAGTCAGAATATGTATTTATACTGCAGGAGGAATCTGATGAGCTAGAAAGCTCTTTTTCACAGATGTGCAGTAGGAGCACAGGGTAAGAATGTTACAAGAAACAAAACAGATGATAGTAGGTAAACAAATCACACAAACACATACAAATACAATTAAACCACCCACATCCTACCAAGCAAATCCCAGAGGTATTAACTTATTTTTCAGAAGCGACCTGGCCACAAATGATAGCTCAACAAAGTGACCCATAATTTGGACATTTATAGCACCAAAATAATCTAAATGATGTCAATGTATGTGGTGACAATTCAGCCGTGCTGGATTTCACAATTCCACGATGACCATGTGACCCCCATGGAACCAATTATAGGTGTAGCGACATCGCTGCATGTCGCTGTGTGTGGCCAGCCTGGGAAAGGCACGCCATGCAATGGATTGCCACTCCGGACCCCGCTGGTTGGGGATGCAGTACCGGCCCTAGTGGGCTCGGGCAACACTGACCGACAAGCAGGTAATGGGACCACACTCTACGCGCAGTGCCAGCCCCTACAGGATAGGGGGTGAGAGTGCGGGCCTCGGGACGGGGTTGCCGGAGGCCATGGCACACTGGTTGAACCCTGAGGATACGTGACCGGAGGTGTCTACCCGGGGACCCCCAAAGGGAGGGCTGGGGGGATAACGTGTCCGGTGGAGAACCTCCTCGAGAGTTCGAGCGCGCCCCACCACACAGGATAAAAAGCCGGGTTCCCAGTGAGAATGGCTGCTGTTGCCTTCATGAAGAAACCTACGTTCTATGTGGGAAGAGGATCTCCAACTCAAGGACCCGCGCCTTCTGAGGCGCGGGGTACACCAGAGAATTTAGAGCCTGCCCAAGCCTGTGCGTCGACCCAGGGCGGAGGTTGGAGACAGGATGGTATGGCGAGGCAGGATGGTATGGTGCGACGGGACGGCTTCCAACACCGGAGGAGGACGTCACCTCGTCTGCTTCAACTGCGGCCTGCCGGGCCACGTCTCGTCGGGATGCCGCGCACCACGACGTCGCCTTCCCGGACCACAGCCGTCGTCCACCCGACCATCCTCCTCTCCCCTGCAACCTAAAGCGAGTCGCGGCACCTCACTCACTCGGCCCCTGAATCCACCTCACTCATCTCGTTGCGCTGGTTCTCCTTTTCGTCGTGTGTCGATGAGGGGGGGTTCAGACTGCGATCGGGACGACTGGCCGCTCCGACGGGGTCAGTGGTCCGAGCTGGCCCATAGGGTTGCTGCCGCGACCGCGGCTTTGTCCGTCATTATTGGTTCCATCGAGGGAATCAATTTTCGGATGCTCGTCAATACTGGGGCGTCGGCGACCATAATTTAGCCGGCCGATTTATAATATTTTGCCCAATAAATGCCGTAGCCTATGCCCCGTGGAAGTGCCGTTCTTTGCTGCTAACGGCGGCTCATTGGGCATCATTTGCAAAATTACAGCACAGGTCTGTATTGGCGACACTAAATTGACCGGTCCGATAAAATGCCTGTGAAGATTCTAATTGACCAAGCGTGCATTGAATTGCCATCGGGCCGTCGTTTGGCATTTTTACCCTCTCACTCGGATGTGCACGGCCAACGCCATCGTGCACGCGCTAGCGTCTAAAATGGTGCGGATTCCCCCTGGCGGGAAAATGTTGGTCCCCTTACACTTGCGCAAGCCACTCCATCAGACGACCACTGCGGAAAGGATCCTCTTGGGACCCTCCAATAAGGCTGTTCGGGGATTGACGTTGGTAGGAGCCCAAACCCTAGTATCCAGGTCCTCAATGCCGGGTTTGAGACTTCCATTGTTCAGCAGGGCTTGTCCATGCGTCACCCACTCTTCCCGGGAATTATGTTATTGGATGAATCACACACGCCACCACGTAGGGTTTCTGATGAACAGTAGCTTGATTCACTTTGTTCGGAGAGTGCGGACTTGTCCGAGTCCCAGAGGGGTAAGTTGAGGGCGCTCTTACGAGAATTTGCTGACGTTTTAAACATGGGGAAATTTTACATCGGCCGTACTATGCTCTTGAGCCACCATATCGACACGGGCGACACTATTCCCATCCGGCAGAACCCTTACCGGCTGAGCCCGGCAGAGAAGCAAGCCGCAGACATAATTTCATCATCCACCACCCCATGGGGAGCCCCTATCATTCTTGTTAAAAAACATTGCAGCTTGCGCTTCTGTGTCGATTTCCGCAAGCTCAATAAAATATCTGTGGCTGATGCTTACCCTCTCCGTTGGATGGACGATTCCCTGGACGCCCTGGCGGGCGCCCACTATTTTTGTACCCTTGATTTCCTGTCCGAATTTTGGCAGTTGCCACTAGACGATGCCTCCAGGCCCAAAATAGCCTTTCGTACGCCTCTGAATTTAATCGGCTTCCGATGGGGCTCCAACTCCGCACCGGCTACGTTTCAACAACTGATGGTGCTGGTCCTAGCTGGATTTCAGTGGGACTCATGCTTAATATACCTCGACGATGTTATCGTCTTCAGCCGTACGTTCGAAGAGCATCTTGATCGACTACGTGCCGTTTTCCTCAATATGTGGGCGGCGAATCTCAAATTTAAGCCGCAAAAGTGTCACCTCCTTAAAAAATCTGTGCGGCATCTCGGTCATATTGTCAGTAAATCAGGCATTGCAACGGACCCCGACTTGGCCGACCCCCACATCGGTGGGGGAGGCGCGTAGTTTTATAGGATTCGCGTCTTATTATCGCCGTTTTATCGCCGAGTTCGCTACCATCGCAAAACCCCTCCACGCCCTGACAGCTAAGGGTCAGAAGTTTAATTGGGGAGAGGAGGCCGCATTTGTCATGCTCCGCAATGCCCTGGTGAACGCCCCTCCCCTCCGCTATCCCGACTTTACTGCGTCATTCGTCCTTGATACAGACTCAATCAACACCGGCATTTGCGCGGTTCTGTCTCAGGTTGTCAACGGGGTGGAGTGCGTTGTTGCATACAGCAGCACGGTGTTGTCACCGGCCAAACAACGCTACTGCGTCACGGGCCGGAAACTCCTGGCGATCTTTTTTTTGTTCAACTTATCACCCCTATTTGTATGGCAGACACTTTCGGTGTGCTCTGACCACGCAGCACTACAGTATGCGTTGTCCCACAGAAAGGCACCCAACATATGAACGCGGATGCCCTGTCGCGCTTACCACCAAGCGACAGGTGCGCGTGTTTTTTGGGCTCGGGGCGCTGTAAGGCGCCGACCGACGACTCGCCCCCGCCCCTTGCGGCGTCGGCTGAGGTAGCCTCCTCCAAGGTGGCCGAAGATCCCGTGGCACGTGACGCCGTCCTTGGCCTGGACCTCGCGGAATGGGGGCGCCTCCAGGTGGAGGATCCCTCAAATTGCACCGCCGCATCACGGAAACGGATGGGGGTAGGGACCGTAGGGGCGTAGCCTCGATTGTCCTGAGGGACGGCCTGCTGATGTGCTGGGATGGCGGCTTGCGCCGTTACAATATTGTTGTGCCCACTGCCCTGCGGGGTAAGGTTGTTTGGGCAGTGCACGAACGACTGCTGCATCTGGGCGTGGACAAAACTCTTGCCACGCTACAGCTTGACTTCTTTTGGCCAGGTATGGCAGAGGATGTAGCTGATTTGTTGAAGGGGTGTGTGTAGTGTGTGCGGCGGAAACACCCGGCCAGGCCCTGTTGTCCGCCAATACCATCAATTCAGGCCTCCCGCATTAACGAGTTGGTCGCTCTAGACATCCTTGGTCCATTACCCGCCACCCCTCGTGGAAATAAATATCTGCTGGATGGCGTCGAATATTTCTCGCGCTGGCCAATGGCCTGGCCACTCCCCAACCAGTCGGCAGCTGCCATCACCGGATCGAATGGTGGAGCGCCTGCACAGGACTCTGACTTCAATGCTGAGCCATCAAGTCGGCAAGTCCCAACTTGACTGGGACTTGCAGGTTCTGGGAGTTCTGGCTGCCTACCGAATGGCTCCTCACGCGTCCACCGGCTATTCGCCCTTCTATTTAATGTATGGCAGAGACCATGACCCCCCAATTTATGTCCAACTACGTGTCGCGCCAAAGAAGGCCAAATAAAAAATTACAGATTCCATGCACTTTAACCTTCAAAAGCTATCGGAAGCTCGTGAGGGTTCTAGGGTAAATTCTAATTCACGCCAATTGGCTAATGAGCGACTATGGGGTCTCCGTACATCCGCCCACGAGTGGGTTGCAGGTGACAGAGCCTAGCTCCACTGCCCACAGGTGCCGGTGGGTGCGTCCCCGAAATTGTTTAAACCTTGGCGAGGACCTGTCGATGTTATTAGGGTCGTCCGACCGCAGTGTGTTCAGATTCGGTTGGGCCGGCGGAGCTGGCTTGTTCACCCATTGCGCCTCAAGCCCTTCATCGCTCCGTGTGAATTCATCCCATCTCCACAACGCAGGGGCCGAGTGTGTGATGTTAAGAAAAGCTGGGGTGCGTGTCCGCTGAGGTTGGTCCTCAGCGGAGTCCTGTGATCCCGCCTTCAGGTGCCGTGGGACTGACAGCCCCCAAGTCGCCACCTGTTCCAGCTCCGGACGATGTGAACCCGGTTTGCACGGCCGACTGCTCCCCGCAAGGAGCCGGGTTCGTCAGGACACTTGCATGTTCCCGCCGGGACCTCCAGGGAGGGAGAGCCCACCTCCCCTGGGGGACTGGCCACGAAGACTCGATCAAAAACTCTGCGGTTTTCGCGACCCCCATACACACACACTCCCACACTGTCGCACTTGGCGGGCCGCTTCGGCTATTGGCTGATCCTCGCCCTTGTTGTGCTTGTGGGTGTTGATTCACGGTGTGGGTGGGAGATGTTGGTGCCGAGGGGAGCTCCGATAATTTGCGTTTTCCTGCAATTTTTTTTCTCCTCTCTACCCTTGCTTGTTGTTCTGTGCTTGCACCTTACTGTACATTTGTATATAGTGTATATATTGTATAGGTGGGTTGGGGTATTTATTGCTATTCATATTGTTGCTGGGTTTGTTGAGGCACACATTGCTCTTGTTGTTTTTTCTCTATTGTTAATTGCTTACTGCAGGGGAGTTGACAGCCGGGACGGCTGAGTGCCACGAAAGGGGGGGTGATGTCGAGACATTGCTGCATGTCGTGTGTGTGGCCAGCCTGGATAAGGCACGCCATGCAATGTATTGCCACTACGGACACCGCTGCTTGGGGATGCAGTACCGGGCCCTCGTGGGCTTGGGCAGCACTGACCGACAATCAGGTAATGGGACCACGCTCTACGCGCAGTGCCAGCCCCTACAGGATAGGGGGCGAGAGTGCGGGCCTCGGAACGGGGATGCGGGGGGCCATGGCACTCTGGTTGAACCCGGAGGACATGTGAACGGAGGTGTCTACCCGGGGTTGTTGTCTTCATGAAGAAACCTACGTTCTACGTGGGAAGAGGATCTCCAACTCAAGGACCCGGACCCGAGTTGGGGTCCGGTCCATGGTAGCTTACTCCGAGTGTAGCTAGCCTGGTGGTCTACCATCATAGATTATCTGGTAAAGGGGCAGTTACCCCTTTGTGTTAGTGTTGTGTTAATAAATGTGTTGCCTCCTACGTTAAGCCTGAGTCTCCATTTGAGCCCACTACATAGGTATAGTTGCACGTCCAAAGAAACTTGTCGTTTGCATTTCTCGCTTTTATCTTTTCTTGATGCTTGCTTTGCTAAATTGGCATGTTAAGATCTTTGTAAATCATAAAAACGATGCATTGTTTTACATCTCATTCAGATGATCTCATTTGTGTTGTCTGCCCCAAGGGTTCCATCTCGTTTCGTCCGAAGATTACTTCAGAAGCCAAAAGGTCACAATTGTATTGTTCATATATATGGGAAACAACCTCCATAAATGACGCACTAACAAGACTCTTACATCTAAACAGATCTATCCTGAGTGCAGGAATTGGTTTTAAATCAAACAACTGTTCATCACCCAGTATCAGAGAGCATTACTATCCTCCATAGTGTTTGCTAATTTACCTGCAGGTTCCGGGCGAACTTAAGGCCAGGCATGATTGGCCCCTTTTCTGTGTGGCCTCTGGCTGTGGCACAGCTGCCGTGAGCCCGCTGCTGCTGCTGCAGCAGCTGCTGCTGCTGCAGCAGCTGCTGCTGCATCGACGAAAGTGGCATGGCCCCTACAGGAGACCGGTCTGACCAAGCAGCCGCACTCATGCTTTCGCCATACTCCAGGAACCTGACAACAGGGGAGGAAAGAAAGGTTACCCACGGCATTAGCATACGTTTAGGTAACGCGAGTCAGAAACGGTGGATTTGATGGCCGTCCAGCAAGTTCCTCTATGGCAAGGCATGAGGGGCAGCAGCACCACCAGATGTAGAACCCATGGTGCACGATTGAATATCACAGAAAGTGTTCAGACATCTTTCAAGAGCTGTTCTCTCCAACACGGGTTTGATGTGCTGCTGCTTTCCACGCAAGTTACCGGGCCGCAAGTCAACGTCGCGTGACATCAATGCCTGCAGCATTAGAAACGAGACAAAAACATACAGCAATAACTGATGAGACATAAGTTTGAATAACCGTATTCGAACGAGCCGGCTTACCTTTTGGGGAATATAATCGTGCCGAGTTCCTTAATGTGGCCGATCAGCTGCGTAGGGTCCAGGTCACACCTGCGCATGAGCACACGGTCTTAACTCCCCATTCAACATCTGCACACTGCTTATAAATGCCACCGCTGGACACTCAATAAGAAAAAAACTTTTTTGTATCCGTGCTATCGTGTATTATTAAATGGTGTTACTTAAAGTAGCATCACTTTTTTATATTTAGGACAAGGAAACGTTTCAACACGTGATGGTTACAATTTGGTCCACCAGCCGACAATACCAACTGGACCCACCACTTTCCAGGTGTTTATTTAAGCAGAAGGTGGAGCTCTGGACGGGTTTAGACCGAGCCTCATTGGCACAACGTGATCCTCATAAAGGTCGTATGGTGACAGTGGAGAGCCAGCTGTAAAAATTGTGGGGCCTATTCAACGCAGCACGGCAACAAGACCCAGGTTTGGAATGCACCTGCATGATGGACTGCGGGCAAATAAATAATAAGATGTACACACGAGCGCTTTGTTCACCATCACAGGCTCAGGTATGGAGGGACTCGGGTAAACAAGTGTCTAGAAGAAAACCAAAGTGTGTAGACCGGTGGATGGACAACTCAGTGGGGTCACGTGAGCGGCCTTCCTGCACCTCAGAGGGCCGCAGGTCGCCCTACCACTGATACGGACACAGCATGGAGTGGGGAGCAGTCGCCACGGGGATGGGCACAACGCCAATATCCCCCTTGATACAGGGCTGGGCACAACACCAATATCCCCCTTGATAATGGGCTGGGCACAACACCAATATCCCCCTTGATACAGGGCAGGGCACAACACCAATATCCCCCTTGATACAGGGCTGGGCACAACACCAATATCCCCCTTGATACAGGGCTGGGCACAATGCCGAAATCTCCCCTCACTACAAGCAGGAGAGACGCAGGCAGAATGAGCATGGCAACCTGAGAAATGGTTTGAGTGAGAAATCAAGAGGGAAAATGTTCACCGTAGCTTTGAATCATGCGTGGAATAAAACAAGCAAATAGTTGCCTCACCAAAGCAATTATAGAAGAAAAAAGTTTCTGACACTGGCATGAAGGTATATGAGGAGAATTATAGAAATGTGATTAGACTTAAAAAAAACTTGGAAATTGGGAATAAATTTAATCGAAGAAGTATCTAAGCTATAAAGAGAGGTTGCAATGGGCACAACGTGTGCTAGATAGGGGTGGGGGCAAGCAGTGACCTAGACAGGGGACAGAGCAACACCTAGAGGTGTTGGTTATCAGACTAGGAACGCAGTAAGGTGAGGCATTGACACTGGAGCAAAATACACAGGAGCCTGCAAAAGGAAACAGAGGAGGTTACTGTGGTGACAGTAAAATTGACTATGACCTATTGACCTCAGAAGCTGCTCATGCGTGAAGGTACAATTCACAGGCGTCCCTGCGTGCACACTCAATGGTCGCATTGCGAGCAGCCGCGTCTCAAAAGCAGTACTCACTGTAGCTCCAGCGAGTCATCCAGCAATATGGAGCACAGCTCCGGGACGTCCATCGTCAGGAGCTGGTCTACCACCTGCACAGAACACGTTGACATGATACCAATCACGGTGAAGATGCAAACTTCCAGTTATTCACTGTCGTAGAGGCGGACACAGCCATATTTACTACAACCAAATGCGCGCAGAAAATCAATACATCCATGCCTTTTGCACGTCCCGCGGAGAGAACTGCTGGCCCCGAGCCATGCTGCAGGCAGTATCGAGGGTGACGCAGTTCGACAAGAGAGACTCGTGAAGAATGCTCGCTCCTCTCGTCAGTATGGGGTGGAGCCGAACCTCCATGTCCTTCAGTTGAAAAATGAGCTCTTCACCCCTGCACAAGCCAGATAAAATAAATTGGCAACTCATGATTTTGGGCAGCTCCAGCGCTGTAACCAGGAGCACCGCCTCTGCATATTTGCGTTCAGGTGAACACGCGGTTTGCAGATACTGTTATAGTCAGAAGTTACTCCTATAAAGTTAGTTACTACTATAGTAAGTGGATACTACTATAGAGTCAGTAGATAATGCTATATAGTCAGTAGATACTACTACAGTCAGTATATACTGCTGTAGAGTCGGTATATACGACTATAATCAGTAGATACTGCTATAGTCAGCAGATACTATGGAGTTAGCAGGTACTGCTATAGTCAGCAGATACTACTATAAAGTTAATAGTTACTACTATAGTCAGTTGATACTACTTTAGAGTCAATAGATACAACTAAAGATTCAGTAGATATTACTATAGTAATTAGATACTACTGTAGAGTCAGTATTTACGACTATAGAGTTGGTTGATACTACTATAGAGTCGGCAAATACTACCATTGAGTCAGTAGATACTACTTCAGTCAGTAGATACCACTTCGGTCAGTAAATACTGCTACAGAGTTGGCAGATACGACTATAGAGTCAATAGATACTGCTATAGAGTCAGCAGATATGACTATAGAGTCAGTAGATACTGATATAGTTAGCAGTGACTACTATAGTGAGTAATTACTACCATAGAGTTGGTTGATACTACTGTAGTCAGTAGATACTACTATGGTCAGTAAATACTACTAGTCAGAAGATACTATGATAGAGTCAGTAGATACTACTGTAGAGTTACTAGTTGCTATAGTCAGTGGATACTACTACAGTCAGTAGATACTACTATACAGTTAGTAGCTACTACTGGGCTTAGAAGATACTACTATACAGTCAGTAGATACAACTACAGAGTCAGCAGATACTACTATAGTCAGTAGATACGACTATAGAGCCAATCGATATTACTACAGAGTCAGTAGATACTACTGTAGAGTGAAATACTACTGTAGAGTCAGATACTACTATAGTCACTAGATACTACTCACTATTGTATGTAGGGTGTGTAGGTATATATGCCTACGCATGGAGGGGGGGGGTCGACAATTTTCGGAAACCTTTTAGATCAACTATTTAACCCCCACTTTCTATAACTTTTTGAACTTCTGCAAGCCTCTTATAATATTGTTGACGGACAAATGGACAGAAAAACAGCATGCCGGGCTTTGACAATAGCTTAGTATTTGTGTAAAGAATGTTATGTTTTTAAGAGAAGTTTTGAAATATATATTTTCCTCCGGGCAACGCCGGGTACTTCCCGCTAGTTATATTATAAATCAACTGTCTATAAACCAAGCCTGGGGATCCAAAACGGCCTCAGGAACCATTATTGGCCAAGGATAGTGTGTGTGTTAAGATGAACGTGGGTAAAAAGAGTAGGGATGGGGGAAAAAAAAGATAAATTATGTGGTGCAAAATACAATGTGAAACTAGAAATCAGTCAGGTAAGCTTCATTGTCTCTACTCCTAAGGCCACCGCCTAAAACTATTACCAATATATTTTGCTGCTTGTAAGGCAGAGCTATCAACCAACGCTGAAAAAAATTCATTTTTATTTGATGTACAAATAAAACAAAAACGAATAAAGAGGCATTAAAACAATTCCCACAACTAATTTTTATACCAAAAAATTACTTTAATCAGTAACGACGTCAAATATCGCGAGGATAAAATCCAGGTAGTCGGAAGAACAATTCAGGATTGTTGCGAGGATTTGCCAAAATTTGTCTGCGAGGATTTACAGTGAGAGAAAAAAGTATTTGATCCCCTGCTGATTTTGTACGTTTGCCCACTGACAAAGAAATGATCAGTCTATAATTTTAATAGGTTTATTTGAACAGTGAGAGACAGAATAACACCAACAAAATCCAGAAAAACGCATGTCAAAATTTTATAAATTGATTTTCATTTGAATGAGGGAAATAAGTATTTGACCCCCTCTCAATCAGAAATATTTCTGGCTCCCAGGTGTCTTTTATACAGGTAACAAGCTGAGATTAGGAGCACACTCTTAAAGGGAGTGCTCCTAATCCCAGCTTGTTACCTGTATAAAAGACACCTGTTCACAGAAGCAATCAATCAATCAGATTCCAAACTCTCCACCATGGCCAAGAACAAAGAGCTCTTCAAGGATGTCAGGGACAAGATTATAGACCTACACAAGGCTGGAATGGGCTACAAGACCATCGCCAAGCAGCTTGGTGAGGTGACAACAGTTGGTGTGATTATTCGCAAATGGAAGAAACACAAAAGAACTGTCAATCTCCCTCGGCCTGGGGTTCCACGCAAGATCTCACCTCGTGGAGTTGCAATGATCATGAGAACGGTGAGGAATCAGCCCAGAACTACACGAGAGGATCTTGTCAATGATCTCAAGGCAGCTGGGACCATAGTCACCAAGAAAACAGTTGGTAACACACTACGCCGTGAAGGACTGAAATCCTGCAGCGCCCGCAAGGTCCCCCTGCTCAAGAAAGCACATATACATGCCCGTCTGAAGTTTGCCAATGAACATCTGAATGATTCAGAGGACAACTGGGTGAAAGTGTTGTGGTCAGATGAGACCAATTCAACTCGCCGTGTTTGGAGGAGGAGGAATGCTGCTTATGACCCCAAGAACACCATCCCCACCGTCAAACATGGAGGTGGAAACATTATGCTTTGGGGGTGTTTTTCTACGAGGTGACAGGACAATTCTAGATTTGAAGCTTTCGTGACTGCACGGATTCATACTCTTAGGTTTTTTTTTTCAGTAAAGTCACGTAGGTAAAAAATAAAATTAATAAAAGTAAAATAAAAATCACGACGTTTCGGAGGCAACAAAAGCTTCCGTCTTCAGGTGGAACCGTCACAGCACGATTGCAGTATCAAGTAAAGAGAAAAATTCCAAGAGACCCGACCTTGTGTATATACTGTTTGAGGGGGGAGGAGCCAGGGTAGGCCCCTGGATCGGAGTTATTTTTTTAAATCCTTTATATTAAGTTCGCTTGCTTGCTTGCTTACGACCGTGCAAATCTTTCGGTCGTTTTTTAACCCACTTCCCATGATCCAATCGAGCTGACATTTTGCACACAGACTCGTTGTGCGAGACAATTAATGTTCGTGAAAAAAAATTTCCAAAATTTTACACTGTTTAGGGAAAACAAATTAAGTATTTAATTACCAATTGCTTAATACTGGCAGACAATCATCTGACCCATAGGTGGCAGCCATCTCAAGCCAGAGGACGAGAGGACTCTAGCCGCCACGCATATAAAGGATTTATAGTAAAAAACTTTGTTTTTACGGGTTATACTTTTTATTATGGTAAGGTTGGTGCGGATGAGGCTGCTGCTAGGACTGAGCCTTTGTTATGTAGACTGGTTGAGCTGGGAGGTGCCAGAGTTGCTAAGGTGCGGCTGCTGCTAATGGGACTGAGCCTTTGTTATGTAGATGGCAGAAGCAGAAAAGCAGGTCAGGAAGAAACAGCCCCTTGCTATGTTGCTGGGTGGGTAAAACAAGCAGGAAACCAGTGTGTGAAAAAAGAAGCTAAACATGATAAAAACAAAACTGGCTGTCTAACAGTAAACTGTACGGTAACTTAAGAATAGTGCCCGTAAAATAAGATGGTCCAAATATGTGTAGTTAAATATTTTTTGCATGGTTAATAACATCTTTCCAATGATTACTAAGTTTGTACCCATCATCACGGTTGAAATTATGTCTGCGTTTGTATATTTGGATGGCCTCGTGTACAAACCTTTGATGGTAGCCAGGAGGTTTGCAGAGTACCTTGGTCTCGGAAAGTACCTTGGTCTCGGAAAGAATGAACCACTTCTTGGACAACATCAATTCCAGACACCCATCCATCAGGTTCACCATGAAAGTGGAGAAAGATGGCAAAACTACCATTCTTAGCTATTCTGTTTGAGAGGAGACCTGACGGATCCTTGGGAAATTCTGTCAACAGGAAAGCCACCCACACAGATTCCTACTTGAAACCTGATTCCCACCACCACCCATCTCAAAAGAATTATCTCATCAAAACGCTATACCACAGAGCTCATGGCATTTCTGACCAACACCACCTGGCCAGTGAATTAAGACATGTACATCGGGCCCTCAGGATGAACGGATACTCTGACCGCACCATCCGCCAAGCTGTTTCTCCCACCATACAGAAACAGCCACTTCAAACTCCGATGAAAACTATCATGTTGCCATACATACAGACGTGACCAAAAGATCTCCAAAATTCTAAACAAACATAAGATCCAAGTCCGATTTAGTACAGTACATAAAATCCGTGATCTAATTCCATCTGTGAAAGATGTCATTCCTGACTTACAATACCCTGGAGTCTACAAACTGAGTTGCAGCTGTGGTGATTGTTACATTGGAGAAACGAAACGTCATATCTCTGATCGTGTCCGCGAGCACAAGTCAGATCTGAAACACGGCAAAATTGAGTCTTCCACCGTTGCCGATCATTGCTACAACGCTGTGGGCTCTCATGAGATTGTCTTTTCCGAGACTAAGGTACTCTGCAAACCTCCTGGCTACCATCAAAGGTTTGTACACGAAGCCATCCAGATATACAAACACAGACACATAATTTCAACCGTGATGATGGGTACAAACTGAGTAATCATTGGAAAGATTTTTCGATTTAAAGCTTTCGTGACTGCAGGGATTCATTCTTGGTTCTTTCGGTAAAGTCACGTAGAAGAGAAATAATAAAATAATAAAAATAAAACATAATAAAATACAATTCTCACGACGTTTCGGCCACAACGCAAGCAGCCGTCCTCAGGTGAAGAACAGGTCTGTCGGAAAGACAGCGTCTGAATGAGCACCACCAAGCTTGGCAGCGTATATTTAAGCTGGGTTGGAGGGGGAAGGGCGCCTTGACGAAGGAATTTGCATATCAAGAGGAATTTAGAATATTTATGGGAAATGCAGATATGGAATTAGTCACTAATTGTGGAATGCGTAGGAGGTGGGGGGGGGTCTCAAAGTCATATTATGCAAGTGCATTATGTAGGATTAGCAGCATCAAAGGGAGGGAGTAGGTTTAGCAGTAAGAAAGGGAAGGAATTTTAATAGTAAGGAGCTGCAGCAGCTAAACCACCACGTAAAAAGCTAAAATATAAAATATGCCTCCAGCTAAACTTTTTTCTTAAACCTAACATTAAATTATATAATGCATTACTATACATTGTAATATTACACTATGTATTATTCTACCCAACCTACTGTATACCACACTACTGTATATTCACTATACAATTACGATACTATATATTACCTTATACATTATATTAAACATTACACTTTTATACTATTTATTATTATACAATCTGCTATACACTATACCATTGACGGTCGCGTGAAAGGTACTAAGAGGAAGCAACGAAATACGTCAATGTGTGCAAACCTGGTGGCTAACTACAAGAAACGTCTGACCTCTGTGATTGCCAACAAGGGTTTTTCCACCAAGTACAAAGTCATGTTTTGCAGAGGGGTGAAATACTTATTCCCCTCATTAAAATGCAAATCAATTTATAACATTTTTGACATGCGTTTTTTTTATTTTTGTTGTTGTTATTCTGTCTCTCACTGTTCAAATAAACCTACCATTAAAATTATAGACTGATCATTTCTTTTTCAGTGGGCAAACGTACAAAATTAGCAGGGGATCAAATACTTTTTTCCCTCACTGTATCTTCAACTTACCACCGAGCTGAAACAATAAGTAGGGGCGTGAACAGCTCGTACGTGTTGACGAGTTCCCTTGTTTGGCTGTACCCGTGGTAGTAGAGGATTTCAACGTCACTCATTTGGTCAGGTGCTTGGTAACGTGTCCCAACCCCAAAAAAAATCTATTCTGAATTTAAATATTGAGTTTGAAAACGTACGTCTTACATAAAAAGTAAATAGTGAAATATAACTGTTTTGTGTAACTATAGGTAGCATACGTTCATCTTATTCTCATTGGCACTCTGCGGGGAAAATTTGTGCCAGAAAGAAGCAACGTGTAAGCAAATATAAAAATGACTTCACGGGCAAAACGGAGAACAAACAAAACCCAGACGCTAAGCAGCAGCGAGCGGCATGAATGCGCGCAGGTGGAACGAGAGCGGAGTGTACATGTGCGCACGTGGAACGTTGAACTCACCGGGCCTGCACCATGGAGCACAGCGAGTGGATGCTCCCATGGATGCTGCACACCACTGTGTGAAGCTGCAGCTGCAGCTCAGACTGCAACTTCTCAAACTCCTGTCGGGGAAGCCACAATTACACCAGCCACTTTCATAGTCAAAGGCACCGTGAGCTCGGTTGAAACACCAGGACGATCAATGTTTGGATAAAAGGCAATCATAGCAGTGCCTGACATTGCACCACACCTAAAGGCGTAGAATTCAGCCTTTTCACACACATCGATTAAACCCGGTTGCCGCACAATTATCATCGACGCCATTAAATACGCACAAAATAATGAGATCGTTGTTGCATCGAATTGCTAAAATTCTGTTACTTTACAATGGGTTTGTGCAAACGTTCAGATATAGGTTGAGTGTTTTGATTGGTCGTGGCCAGCCAAGAATTAATTATAACTTAAAAAAACACAAGCAGCGTATTCCATCTCAAAACAACTGCTGGGCGGTAAACCAGCTGTGAATCGACCATAGCTGTTGAGGACGACGATGACAATTAGGATGATGACTTTGACGACAGCGTCAATGACGATGACAACAATGATGAGGACGCTGACTATGAAGACGATGACGACAACGATGAGGACAATGACGAGGATGACAACGATGAGGACAATGATAACGACGATAACGTTGACAACGATGATAATGACGATGAAGATGATGCAGCATTGCTGCAGCCAGCGAACCACACTCACGCTCAGTGCCTCCTTCAGTTTTAAGACCCCCGTCTGGCCCGCAACAATGGCCTTGAGAAGCTGCACGCTCAGCTCTTCCTTCTGCAATGGGCAGCAACGAAACGGTTGTCATTGGAATCCTGGCTCAAGGTGTGAGAAACGCCTTTTCAGGAATAAGTTGCGATCTAAGATTGCGCACGGGTTAATCCGTATACCTTATAACACCAGAGGTTTTTTTGGGTTAGATCACCGAAATATCAACGCGTCGTTCAATCCGTCACCACCCGAGAGCCAATTAGTTATTTGGATAATAATATTGGTGGCGAAAGCCTACACACGTTTTACTTTATTGCAATTTAGATTATGCTGTGGGATTTTCCTTTCTATTTTGATGTTGCCAACATTCGTAAATGTTATTATTCATATTTTAATCTCGATATGGCTAGAAAGCACCAGATGAGCGACATTACATCCAAGCGGGGCACTTCAATCGACCTCGCGATTGATGTCTCAGAAGTTCACCTTGGTATCGAGCAGAGTATGGTCGTGGTCGCTGTGCTCAGAATCCGGGATGCAATCCGCGCACGCAACGTCGCTGCCACCGCCACCGCCGTCACCAAGCTCGCAGCAGTACGCGTACGGCTTACCGTGCACCTCACAATTCTCACTGCGGTAATAGCCACATCAAAGACCGGTCAACACTGTCAACCTTTAAAAGCTGCACCAAAACACTATCTCTCTTTATTGCGTGCACGTTATTTGTGAATAAAGAATCCGTAATTTATTTAGGTTTTTTGGCTGCCAGAAATATAAACAGCCATAGATAAAAAGCATTTGCATCGACATACATACAGATCATGAACAGGTCATGTTCCCACCGGCACGCGGCCAGGAAGCGGAGATGAAGGAACAACCTGGAGCAATGAGCCAGCAATCACAAGATCCTCGGTTTCAAGTTTTCTTTATCCAACTTTTCACAACTACAATTGGTAAAAATTTCACGTTATACACGAAAAACACGGCCGTGTCTCTTTTGAAGGGGGCAGCTAAAAGCGTCGAGCACCTCGCGACCATGACTGAGGTGCTCCGAGAAGTACAGTGGACTCTTGATATCCGCGTGCGGTTTATCCGATTTGCGAATTAACTGCGCTCACTTCAGATTTTGACAAATTAATAACTTGCGCATTTTCCCTTAAGCCCAAATTAATAATCTAAAAACGCTCCTGAAAAATAACGTATAGCTCAGTGGGAACAATTGTTTCAATTGTTAGTTTTAAGCGGCTTCATGGGCGTGACCGCTGCACTCGGATGACATTGAGGGCCCTGGTGGAGTCAAGAGCAACCATAATCCAAGAGCGGATCTCAAAGCCAGGAACCTTTCTATGAAACCCTTTGTAAAAGTGTCCAACGTGCCACTGCCCAGCCTCGATGTCACATCACGACAGTAGGCTCTCGATTATCTGTGCTAATGACAGGGAGGACGGCTGCGGATAATTCAAAATCGCGGATAATCCAAAAATATCCATTTTCCGTGGATCACTATGCCAAAAAACACTGATTTAGGTATTAATTATATTTAAGTATCTCTTCCATCACACAGTTTTGTAAATTAAAACTAACAAAATAAATGATTGGATAAATCACTCAAAAGAAGCACAACTAATGATTTTGCTTGTTACCGTTTCGATTTAGAATAAACACTAACAATCGACCAATCAATGATGCATGTGCTCAGTGATAACACTTTTCTGCTCCCGTGCAGAAGACTCGGCCTACTAAGTGAACAGCAGCAGATTCACACGAATCAACATCAAACTCCACCCACTGTTGTAAAGATCTGCAACTCCTGTGCTGTAGAGGCGATCACGTGGATTTTGGTTAAGCAAGTGACTTGTAATAAACATTTCCAAGAATAACAATGTATAACAGTTTTCTGGTTAAGATTTGTGCTAAAGGGAAAATCCTTGAGTTATTAATTTATATCAATATCTCAGGTGCGCGATTAATCCACAAATCAGATAAACCGCTCGTGAATAATCGTGGGTCTACTGTATTTAGGTATGGAAGTTTTTCAGTTTTCATGATAATTAAGGGGTTAAGGCTATAAGGTTCAAGGCAGGGGGTAGGGAACCCTACAAGACCACAAGTTCACTTTCTATGGGCATGTGGCCACATGAGGAATGCTGTGAAGTATAAGGGTCCACAAATGACATGTGTCAATCATTGCAAAAACATTAATAGCTACAGTAATTGAAAATATTTTTTCTTTTATTTTACCAGGTAAGGCATACTGAGCTGTGCAGCTCTTTAGGCTCTAGATGTGCGACGTTGATTCTAAATGAGGGAAAATCTGGGAGACCCGGAGAAAAATATATGTGACCATGGGGAGAAAATGCAAACTCCAAATATGAATGCGTCAGGATCGAACCCACAACCTCCTGTATATCAGGCGCAGTAATTTATATCTTCTAGCCACCACTTACCAGTCACTGGGATACATTTTGTTCACTTTGTGGTTTTTCAGCACTTTCGCATTTCCGTGAACCTGAAACGCATCACACGTGCGTGCACACACGCAATACTATAATCTCAGACCGGCCTTCACAACATCGTCACTCTACGCAGGTACACAAGTGTTGCACACAGGGTACACAGGTAAACAAAGGTAGCCACCCAATCTGAAGGACCTTCCTTCCTAACAAAATTTGTCCCAAGCACAGGTGTACAGTAACAAAAGGCAAAGATCCCTCATGTAGCCTTAATAGACTGTTGGGGCAAGTGCTATTATAGCGAGCGCCTCTGAAGGCCAGCACAGAACAAAGGGGTGGGTGGCCAACATTACGCCCGGCCGCCTTTGTCTCCCTAGTGGTAATGTTTACACACTGCACTGGAGGCTGAGTAGACCTAGGGGAGGCCCAGGACCGGTTGAGATAATTGTCACTGGTGGTGACCGTGAATAGCAATCGAACTCAAGTCGCCGGGTACGGAGCGCAGCGCGCTAACCGCTTACACGGAATGCTCGCCACATTAAAAGTACACAGTAACACATACACCACATACATGCAGGTACACACCGTGACTGTCAACTCCTATAAAACATTCACCGCCACTTAAACCTTACTCCTTCATTTTCATTCCCAGTTTTATTACATTATTATCGAATAATCTATCTTTATGCAATCTCAGACTTGTGCAAAAAAAAGAGTTTAGGTGATGCCCACTCACACAGGAGTCTTGACTGAGTTTGTGTTGTTTGTACAAATTTCGCCTGAAAAAGTTTAAATACATCCAAGCTAACTGCAAATAGGCAATATCTGGGGAACACACATTGAGGTTGGGTACATGGAGCCAACAGCAATATAGAGCAGAGACATTCTGATTGACCACGTAGATTTCGATTTAAAGCTTTCGTGACTGCAGGGATTCATCTTCTTGGTTTTTTCGGTGACTTTACCGAAAAAACCAAGAAGATGACCACGTAGACTTCGGAAATTTACCAAGCAGGAGTAGATTACTTTAAAAGAGCAAATGGCTTAGAACAGACACCTACATACAGAACACAATTACAACTTGTACAGCATCTAAATATGTAGCAGGCTTTCACAACCAATATTATTCATAAGAGTTTTTTTTGGCTTAGATTGCGTAAATATAAACGTTTCGTTAAACCCGCCACCACTCGCCTGATGAGGCTGGTTGTTGTAATTACCGGTGAAACATACTCTTTAGTTCTTTCGGTAAAGTCACGTAGGTATAAAATGAAAAATAAATTAAAAATAAATTCAAATAAAAAACAGAATCAAAATAAATCAAATAACGACGTTTCGGAAGCAACACAAGCCTCCGTCATCAGGTGGGATAGCCACAGCAAGAAATAATTTGCTGTAGTGGACAGGAGCTGCTCATAACAAGATATTATATAATGCAAGAGGGGGGAGGAGCCAGGGGGGAGAGAAGTAGAGGGTGGGGGGGTGGAGGAGGAGAGGAGGGTTGAGTGAGCATCAGCCACCAAGTACTCAACACGGCTGGGGGGGGGGGAGTAGGGGGGGGGGCAAGGATCAGCAACCTGGTCAACAGCACCGCCAGTGTGACACAATGCAGAGTGGTGCACTGAGCGGGTCTGGGGGGTGGAGTAGAGTGTTGAGACTGGAGATACGGGTATGAAAGAAACTATAAAGCAACTAAGATTTTACCTGGTTAATAACATTCTTCCAATGATTGCTCAATTTGAATCCATCCTCTTAGTTGAAGGTATGTCTGTGATTATACATCTGGATGGCTTCATGAACAAATCTTTGATAGTAGCCTGACGATTTGCAGAGTACCTTGGTCTCGAAAAAAAACAATATCATAAGAGCCCACAGCGTTGTAGCAGTGATCAGCTACGGCGGAAGAACCAGTTCTGCCATGTTTCAAATCCGCCTTGTGCTCGCGAATACGGTCCAATACATGTCGTTTCGTTTCCCTAATGTAACAATCGCCACAAATGCAACTGAGTTTGTAGACTTCAGATTATTGCAAGTCAGGAATAACATCCTTTACGGATGGGATTAGATCACGGATTTTGTGTACTGTACTGAATCGGACCTGGATCTTGTGCTTGTTTAAGATTTTGGAAATCTTTTTGGTAACGCCTGCTATGTATGGTAACGTGATGGTTGTAATCAGTCCCAAGGGGTTGTTTCTCCATGGTTGGAGAAACAGCTTTGCGGATAATAAGGTCCGAATATCAATTCATCTTAAGGGCCTGGTGTACGAGTTCCAATTCACTGGCTAGGTGGTGTTGGTCAGAAATGCAGTGGGCCCTATGGTGTAGTGTTTTGATGGGGGAATTCTTCTGTGCCGAATGGTGGTGGGAATCAGGTTTCAGATAGGAATCTGTGTGGGTGGCTTTCCTGTAGACCAGGGGTCTCAAACTCGCGGCCCGCGGGCCAATTGCGGCCCTCGGGACGATATTTTGTGGCCCCCACCTTAATATGAAAGTTTAATGTTAGTGCGGCCCACGAGTTTTATATTGTAGCAACCCTGCTGTGAGCTGCTGTCTGGGACAATGTTATGATGTTCTGGTTTCCTACTGTGTGCCTGTCCAGTGAATGCGGCATGCATGTGAGTGACATGGGGGGCGGGGTCGTGTGTGTGTGTGTTTGTGTGAGAGTGAGTGAGAGAGAGAGAGCCGGGAGAGAAAAGAGTGGCTTTGGATGTGCGGAGAGCAGGAGGGTGAAATTCATAGTTTTCCGTCCTCTTTCGCGCAGGTCATGATGTATCCAGTGCTTCATTTGTAAATCACAAGGTGCCGGAACGCTAAGTACATATGACAGTGCAGGTACGACGAGCACAGGTCCCGGAACGCACATAAAACGACGCTTAAAACAGCACACACATGCCACTTACAATGCAGTGGGACTTATTTAGGCTATACTGCAGTGACGGTATCAGTCTTTGTGTCAGTGATTAATAAAGTGGCATCTTGAGCAAAGGCGACTTCTGTGTCCAGCGGAGAAAACGAACGGAACACACACACACGTCATTGAGCTAATATCTACATTCTACAGTCTGGGCTGTTTTACATTATTATTTACACCTGATATGTGTGGATGAATTTTAATGATTTAAATTCCCTCATCCTCTGGTGGTGACATTTACGCACCGAGCCACAGACTGTACATGACGATGTGCATAATTATTTTGGTTCATCTTAGAAGTCTGCATTTGTTATTATTTTATGAAATTGTGATGCTGTTGTTAAGAAAGCTTTATATATAACATATTAGCTTATCTTGTTATTGTGGGGCCACAAATTAGTAATTCATCCACCGATGTCAACAGGGGCTCCGTAATTTTCTAGTGATTACATTATATTGTTATATTTTATTGTAATAATTTCTTTAAAAACTTTTTTTAATATTCATCTTTTTTTCGATACGAGAGGTACCGGATCTGCTCAAATAAGTCCCAAACGCAGGCAAGCCAACACGCCGGCAAAAAGTAATCACAAAAATGTATAGAAAAATGTGATGATGTGACTGAAGGCAGCGAAAGCCCCGACAGTGGCTAGCAGCATTTGAATCCCGTGGTCACACAATGACGCTGCCTCATATAGTCCTCTCCTCTCCCTCTTTCGGCTCTCCACTGTGCGCGCACCGGAGCGCGTCAAAGCGCAGATCCACAAGCTCATCCTGGCTCAGATCCCCGTGCTTTGAACAGAGAAGCGTGTATAGTAGCAGCCGCTACAGCTGTGTCTGCCTGTGACTGGGGTGTGGGGTCGAAATCTGATGGGAACGCATTACCCCCCCCCCCATAATCTACGCACCTGTTGTTACCGGAAAAAGCGGAAATGACGTGTATTTGCGGAAATTACGTCTCCGTGCGTCGCTGGTTGGCTAAACACTTGACTGAAACTTTATTGCGTGAGCAACAGCAAGTGGAATGAATATATATATTGTCATACAGCCCCAATCATGTCTTTTTCAAAGCCTGCAGTGAAGAGAAAGGTTGGTGACGAGCACAGACAATTTCAGGAAAAGTGGGAGATGCAATATTTCTTTGTTGAGCACATGAGCACCCCGACGTGTCTTATTTGTACAGAAAAAGTTGCGGTGCACAAGGAATACAACCTCAAACGTCATTACTCAACTAGAAATGCTGAGGAATATGCAAAATACCAGGGAGATGAGAGAGCCAACCGGGTTGCCAATCTTTAAACATGTCTACGGAGGCAACAACATGTCTTCAAGAAAGCAACCAAAGAGAATAATGCAGCAGTTGAAGTAAGCTACGTGGTTAGTGAGATGATTGCTAAGGCAGGAAAACTATTCACAGAAGGCGAGTTTATCAAAAAGTGCATCTTACAGGCTGCAGGTATAGTCTGTCCGGAAAAGAATGGTCAGTTTAGCAACATCAGCCTTTCTGCTAACACCGTGGCAGAGCGCATTTCTGACCTGTCAAGTGACATTTATGATCAACTGCGTGAGAAAGCCACATTTTTCAATGCATACACAGTCGCTCTTGACGAGAGTTCAGACATCACTGACACTGCCCAGCTCACAATATATGTCCGTGGTGTTGATGACAATTTTGAAGTGATGGAGTTGTTGCTCACAGTAATTCCAATGCATGGCCACACCACCGCTCAGGAGATATTTTGCCAGCTGTGTGATGCCATTGTGAATGCCGGTTTGCCATGGAAAAAGTTTGTTGGAATAACAACCGACGGAGCGCCATCAATGACAGGGAGGAGAAATGGACTGGTGGCATTTGTTCAAAGAAAACTAGAAGAGGAGGGTGTGGAGGAGGCCATTGCTCTGCACTGCATCATCCATCAGCAGGCCCTTTGCAGCAAATGCCTAAAGTTTGACAATGTGATGTCTGTTGTTGTGAAATGCATCAACCAAATCAGATCCAGGGGCTTAAAGCACCGGATGTTCCGTACTTTTTTAGAGGAAATGGAGTCAGAATATGAGGATGTGCTCTACTTCACCGAGGTACGTTGGCTCAGCAGGGGAAACGTCTTGAAGAGATTTTTTGAGTTGAGAGCAGAAGTGAAAGCCTTCATGGAGAAGGATGGGGTGGCTGTTCCTGTGCCAAGTGATCCCAAATGGCTCATGGACTTAGCTTTTCTTGTTGACATCACGCATCAGCTGAATGTACTGAACAAGAAGTTACAAGGCCAGGGGCAGCTCGTCAGTGCTGCCTATGACAACGTGAGAGCATTCTCCACAAAACTTGTGTTATGGAAAGCCCAGCTCACTCAGACAAACCTTTACCATTTCCCAGCATGCAAGGCACTCCTGAATGCAGGCACACCATTCAGTGGTGAGAAGTATGTTGATGCCATTTTGAGGCTACAGGAGGAATTTGATCACAGATTTGCAGACTTCAAGACGCACAGAGCCACTTTTCAAATGTTTGCGGATCCCTTCTCCTTTGATGTGCAAGATGCCCCCCCTGTGCTTCAAATGGAGCTCATTGACCTGCAGTGTAACTCTGACCTCAAAGCCAAGGTCAGGGAGGTGAGTAGAAAAGAAAAGCTTGGGCAATTTTTGCGAGAATTGAACCCCAGCTTCCCTGAGCTTTCCCGAATGTTCAAGTGGACCATGTGCCTTTTTGGGAGCACATATTTGTATGAAAAGCTCTTCTCCACCTTGAACTTCAATAAGTCCAAGTACAGGTCCAGACTTACTGATGATCATCTTCAAGCCATACTGAGGGTCTCAACTGCTTCCTCCCTCAAGCCAAATGTGGCTCAGCTATGTGAGAGGAAGCGCTGCCAGGTCTCTGGCAGCAAGAAGTAGGCAAGAGAAGCCATGTTCAGAAGAACCATTCATGTTCTTCAATATTCTATTAATGTTCAGAAGAACCCATTGAAGTTAAATAACTGTTAGTAATGACATTTGAGAAGTTTAGATTTTTTTAGCAAAGTTTTTTTCGTGGAATACCTGATGCGGCCCAGCCTCACCCAGATACTGCCTCAAGTGGCCCCCAGGTAATTTGAGTTTGAGACCCCTGCTGTAGACAGTGTCCCAAGAAGCCATCAGGTTTCTTCTCAAACACAACATCCAGGAATGGTAGCTTACCATCCTTCTCCACTTCCATGGTGAATTTGATGGATGGGTGTATGGAGTTAATGTGGTCGAGAAATTGGTTCAATGCTGGCAGGCCATGTGGCCAAATGACAAAAGTGTCATCCACATACATCTTCCACAGGGAAGGATGTAGGGTGGATGTCTAGATGGCGTCAGTCTCAAATTTCTCCATGAAAACATTTGCTATCACCGGTGACAAGGGTGAACCCATGGGGGTACCCTCATTTTGTTTGTAGAAAGTACCATTCCAGGTGAAGTACGTGTTGGTAAGGCAGTGCCTAACCAGAGCAGGAACATCAGGGTTCAGTCCATTGTGGACTAAGTCTTCAATTATTGCTATGGTGTCAGGCACCGGGACCTTGGTGAACAGAGAAACCACATCAAAGCTGACGAGGTAATCATCCGGAGACAGTGAAATGTCCTTGATTAGAGAGACCAAGTGAGCTGAGTTATGTACTGCTGAGGTAGTCTTGCCAGTGTAAGGAAGCAAGGTATCTGATCGTGGACACGATGGGCCGAAGTGGAGTGCCTTCTTTATGGATCTTGGGAAGACCATAGAATCTGGGTGGTCGAGCAGCCGAAGGTTTTAGGAAGGGCCGTTTGACTGGTTCGATTAGAGAAGTCGAACTGGTAATGAAATTGTTGGTTTTAGTCGTCAGGCTGTTAGTAGAATCTTTGTTGATTTTGGAGTAGCTACCATCATTTAGACGGTCCTGGATTTTGTTGTTGTATGTGGTTTTATCCATGATGACAGTGGCATTGCCCTTGTCGGCCGAGAGGATGACTATGTCATCCCTCTTTTTCAAATTTGCGAGTTCCGTCTTTGCTGCTGTTGCTAATGGGTTTCTTAGCATTTTTGAGGATAGTGGCAATTTCAGCTCCAGCAACGTCTGTTTGGATGTGTCCCAAGCCTTTGAGGGCTACATCGACCTGGGAGATTATATCATCCACTGGGATATGTTTGGTGGTAACTGCGAAATTCAGTCCCTTAGCTAGTACCGATTTAGGTTGTCAGAGATTGGGATGCTACTCTGATTGATGACAATCTTGTTAACATCTAACTTGTTAATGTGTGGATCTGGCTTCTCTTTTGACAGGAGGTTGAATTTAGCGATCAAGTTAGCTTTACATTTGGTTGACAATGAATTAGCAGAGGAGACTCATGTTATCAACACGGTCCCAATCAGAAGGGGATATTTTTTCTGTTAATATTAAGTGTGATTGTAAGAGAGTCTTGTCTAAATTATCCAGCTCAAATCGGAGCAATTTTATTCTCTCTGAGATCAGTGACAGGCTAGCGTTAAACAAGATCCGTTTAGCGTGAGAAGAAGTGACAGCAGCAGAAGTGAGTGCAAATGCGAGAGGTATTACCTTGTTGTCGCGGTATCGCTTGAGGAAGGTTAGCGACTCGATTAGTTGTGCCTTTTTGTCCCGTTGTCTGTTAAAAGCTCTAACAGAACGGTACTCGAATTGTAAATATTGTAGGTTTACTGTCAAACACAAGGTGTGCTGAACTAGTAACTAATCGACACATTTTGTTTAAGTGACAAACTTTACTAACTGGCTGTGTCACCTGGTGGTGGCGGGTTTAACGACATTTACAATTCGAGTAACAGCGACGTTTTCGCCGGTAATTACAACAACCAGCTTCATCAAGCGACAGCCAACTCTGGCTGTTTCGAGTCTGTGAAAGTGATCCGATTTGCAGCAAGCCTTGTGCAACGTTTGCCACAATTGAATGAAATAGAAACGGTGGATGACGCCTAGTACAGTATTCCATCGGGATGTTACGTGTGCCCTCACAACATTTAGATTGTTGTCCTAGTCGTGTTTAGTGTCTGTTTTAAAGTTTGTATGATGCTCTTTAGCAGTGAGAGAAATTATCAGGTATTTGGAAGTGACATGTGAAAAATGTGTAGGAGGGGGATTTATACTGCAAATAAGGTGTTAGGCACACTCACTCCGGAGCGTATATACCTAAGTAGATTGCACCAAGAGGCCGTAAGTGCGCTGGATTGCAACTAGCACGTCCGATCCCTAAGTGGTTTGTTTGTTTTTACCAGATAATATTGGTCGCAAAAGCCTATGCAGTTAAAGCACGTGATAATTACAAGGCGATTACCTTCTTAAAGCAGGAGTCGCAAAAGTCCTCTCGGCAATGCATGCAGGACAGGACGGCTTTCTGCCGCTCGCATTCGGCACAGCGCCTCTCCTTTCCAGCTGAAATGCAGCCGACAACAGCAGCGGCAGCGATCCACACGTCAGTGAGTCAGTCGGTCAGTGGGGGTTCCTCGCTTGCCTGTCTACAAGGCAACACACTTTGGAGCCAACAGAACCGAAGAGTGAAAACCACCACTACCACCACACTGTTGATCAATCAGCCCTGTCCATTGTTTCCTTAAACCTCGATAGTTTTTCAAGTGCCTAACATTTGTTTACTCCTATGAAATTGGCATGAATAAACATATAGACAAAAATAAAATATCCTACTATAGTTAGTGTATTTACCGTACTGTACTTAGCACTCCAATCTCAAAGACTCTGCATGAATTGGAGGTGGCTATTCAGAGATTAAATCCAACTCAATCATCAGCTATAATGTAGGTTCGCCGGATAAGCCCGGAACCGCCGGATGTTGAAAACTGCATAATCGTACACCGGATAATCGATGTTTTATTGTATTGCCAGAGCCTCATTAATTTAGGTTTTTAGAATGAGTGAAGCAGCCATGCATGATCTGGTGAGCTTACAATGGTAATCGTACTAGCGATAACAAAATAACTTATTGAGCTTGCACAAGTTTATTGTTTTTCACGACAAAATCATAATACAACACGTAAAAAAGCTTCCCATGTATTTTTCATACTACCGCATCATATAGACATGCATCAACAACTCTATAAATAAAATGTGGTGACGTGTCACGATCCCCCCACCACATGTACTGGTCAGGTTCAAGCGAACATCGTCCGGGATCCCCCGGGTCTCCCGGAGGGCTCCTCCTCCGTCCGTATGCAAGAGCTGATGCGACTTCACTTGGCTCCTACCAAGGTTTTGTTTGGACCTGAGAGGCGTGGGGAGTGGGGGGGCGGAAGACAGTGAGTGGCACAAAGGGAGGAGTCGTGGTGCGCAACAACTCCACTTGAGATATTCAATTCTCCATTCACTCAGAATTAATCTCCTCCCATTATAGACTTACTTGATTTTAACCCGGTTGAAAGTAACAGAAAATATACTAAAACAAAGTAACTGGGTCACTCCTGCCTGCTAAACGGCGGTTTTACTCACAAAACAATGGCAGCATTCCTATCCTGATGATTCATTCCTATCTTTTCATATTCCCATCCTGATGATTCCGTGTGATCCAAAGCCTGCCTCCAGATCACACTTAGAACCTGAAATTACCACCACTAAGCAAGTGTCAACAATTTTTTAGTTTTTTTATGAATCTGTAGCTTCGTTACACAAAAATCAGTTTTTAGTGGTTGAATCGTTAACAAAAATATTATTTAAGGTTTAAAAGGTCAAAAGGCTCAGAAAAAATGGCATGGCTCTTTCAGAAAAAAAAGAGCCAGGGAGAAAGCGAGGTGTTTGGGAATACGATAGGTTCGCAGGATGAGAACGTGCCCTATTTCTTATGCCATTTGCCACAACATCAAAGCATCAACTAGCGACAGCATCTGAAGACGCTGTGCAATGAGGAATGATTACCCTCTTCCTTCAGCTCGCAAATCCTCAAGACTAGTTTTTCAAGTAGGTGCTGCTGCATTGGGGACGTTTGGCCAGTTAAACCAGTTTTTTTTATCATTACCGTGGGACACCGCACGAGTATTTGTATGCTGCCACAACTCCAAGTGAATAGAAATCCAGAGGCAGCTGAGAAAAGCCACCGGCTCCAGGAATCCTGGTCACCATCTGCACCACGCCCGGGGCACAATCGGCGGCACACAACCACATCAACACCACGTTAAAACAACTTAGGAGTGTCCTTTTCTGAACCAATCCGTAATGTGCGCAGCTCTCCCGACTCCCATCAACTTCTTAAAAAAAATTTTAAACCTCTGACTAATGTTTGCAAGCGAGTGTGATATCTGAGTATGGGATAATGCTCATCACTCTCCTCTCCACATTCATCCAAAATGTGCCCAGACTTAAAGTTAGTGGTTTAATCGGCAGTGGTGTAATTTACGCAGCTGTCTACAGGAAAATCTCTGTATCCGGAATCCATGATATCTGGGTTATACTGGTAGGAACGAAGTGGACCAGCCACCAATAGATTATTTCGTCCGTCCGTTTGTCCGTCCGTCCGTCCGTGTAGCAACATCGCCCCCTACTGCAAACACTTGGCATGACCCTACAAAAACCTTTAGACTCAGTGACGCTTTCCTGGCTAAACAAGTGTAACATTCCCTTATAATTCCCTCAGATAGCTTTTAATTAAAACATTTAAATAAATTAGGCTTTCCTGGCTAAACACGTGTAACATTCCCTTATAATTCCCTGAGATAGCTTTTAATTGAAACTTTTAAATTAAATAAAAAAACTCACAGCGCCCTAAAGCCTACAGCTAGGCCTAAAGCCTAGAACTAGGCTTGAAACTCTCCCTTCGTATCGTACCCCCGCGTGTGTGAAAGGGAGTTAATGTTTAACAATGTTACATTCCCTGATGTTTTTTAATAGAAACATTTACATTTAAAGCTTTTACATAAATAATTAAAACATTTATATTAACAATTAACTCACGGCGGCCTAAAGCCTACAGCTAGGCCTAAAGCCTAGACTTAGGCCTGAAACTCTCCCTTCGTATCGTACCCCCGCGTGTGTGAAAGGGAGTTAATGTTTAACAATGTTACATTCCCTGATGTTTTTTAATAGAAACATTTAAATTTTAAGCTTTTACATTAATAATGAAAACATTTAAATTAAAAATTTACTCACAGCAGCCTAAAGACTACAGCTAGGCCTAAAGCCTTGAACTAGGCCTGAAACTCTCCCTTCGTATCGTACCTTCGCGTGTGTGAAAGGGAGTTAATGTTTAACAATGTTACATTCCCTGATGTTTTTTAATAGAAACATTTACATTTAAAGCTTTTACATTAAAAACAACTCCCTACCCCCCCCCCCCCCTCGTCGGCGGCTCTCCAGCCGAGAGCTCGGACAGGGAATCTCTCCCTCGCTTGGGGTGTATTGGGCGGGGCTACAGCAGCAGGGGGCGGGGCTCTGCGGGGATGGACGGGGCAACGGCGGCAGGGGGCGTGGGCACGAGGTGGAGGGCGGGGCTACGCGGGGTTGGGGCGGGGTTACGGCGGTAAGGGGCGGGGCAACGAGCTGGGGGCGGGGACACCGAGATGGGGCGGGGCCACGGGTGGCCGGGGCGGGGTTACGCGGGTGGAGGGCGGGGCCACGTCGCATCCACTTATTGGCGGCCATTTTTTGCCATTTCATTTTATCATAGCCATTCTATTCTTCGTTCCTACCAGCCCATCCCGCAGGGTCCTGTTATTTATGGTTCACCACATTTTCCAAGAGCATACAACGTTTCAAGAAAGAAACAGCCTAAATTTTAACTTTGATGCAAGAAATAATATCCTCTTTTCACAGAGGTATTCACCAGTCAGTTGTAGAGCATTTTATAAGCTGCTTGTAGAGAAGCAGTGGGGCCCTTTAGAGAGTACAGTGTACAGTAGTACAGTACAATGAGACAACATGAGGTTAGGCAGCACATGGCGTATACCCACTTCACTCAAGAGTCACACTTATAACACCACTACAAACGTATAACTCGCTACACACGTAAAACGTAATGTAAGACTACACTGTGTATAGTATAGAGTATTGAGAATAGGTTTTCCACTTTTTTCTGGCAACAAAACAGGTGTTAAGATGTTAAAACACCAAACTGAAACCTTTTACAAGGAATCCTGTCTGCATTAACCACAATACTTGTGGTCAGAATGCAATCAAAAAACATACTCTGATATATTATGCATTGTCTTTGAAACTGATTGGTCCACACCAGAGACGGCTTTCTTTGGAGCCTAGTCTCAAACGGTGTTAGACCAGAGGATGCCAAAAGGTGTTACAAAAGGGGAAAACCTATTCTCATATTTTGGTACTGGCAAAGGAGGTTCCATAAACAGGACCCTGCGGGGTGGGCTGGTACGAACGAATAACCAAAGAATATAAACATAATGTATTATTACACTTGTTTAGCCAGGAAAGCCCCACTGAGTCCAAAGGTTTTTGTAGGGTCCTGCCAAGTGTTTGCAGTAGGGGGCGATGTTGCTACACCTAATCGGACGATCCGAAGGGAGATTTTGAGGCCTAGTTCTAGGCTTTAGGCCTAGCTGTAGGCTTTAGGGCGCTGTGACCTAATTTTTAATTGAAATGTTTTAATTATTAATGTATAATTAAAATGTTTTAATTATTAATGTAAAAGCTTTAAATGTAAATGTTTCTATTTTAAAACATCAGGGAATGTAACATTGTTAAACATTAACTCCCTTTCACACACGCGGGGGTACGATACGAAGGGAGACTGTGAGGCCTAGTTCTAGGCTTTAGGCCTAGCTGTAGGCTTTAGGGCGTTGTGAGTTTTTTATTTAATTTGAAAGTTTTAATTAAAAGCTATCTCAGGGAATTATAAGGGAATGTTACACTTGTTTAGCCAGGAAAGCCTCATTAATTTAAATGTTTTAATTAAAAGCTATCTGAGGGAATTATAAGGGAATGTTACACTTGTTTAACCTGGAAAGCGTCACTGAGTCTAAAGGTTTTTGTAGGGTCATGCCAAGTGTTTGCAGTAGGGGGCGATGTTGCTACACGGACGGACGGACGAAATAACCTATTGTAGGCTGGTCCACTTCGTTCCTACCAGTATAAAGTATAGAGTACCGTCACGATACAGCACAACGCGATCACCATGGCGGATTGTTTACAAACTGAGATTTCCGCGAGGCGCCACCAACCGGGCAGCATCCTGAAGATCCCGTAAACAACGGAACTATGAGAAGTGCACGGCAAGTTGCCGGACAAATGGCTGTCGGAATTTTTCCGGGTGACGGAAGGGTTAGGTTCCCAAGAGCGATCCGTAACCCGATTTTTCCATGTCGAAAACTGAACAATTTTCCCCTAAAATCAAGATACCTTCCTAAAGCAGGAAATAGTTGTTCCTCCCCCACTCGATTACTTGTTCGTTTTCTGTCAGTACTTTATCGCGCTGTCGTTTGTTTTCTATCGCTGCCTGTATCATCACTCTACATACGCTCTGCATTTCCTAGGATTCTTTCATTTCTTCAAATATCGATCCGAACATTGCCTATAATTAAATGACTGGAACATACTGTATCCAATTGACTATGAAGACCAAGAAACATTTTTACATGAATTGTTAACAGAAAGGAGTCACTTCCGAATGTTCGTTTACCATGCATTAGGCTTGGCCTAGAATTCTCCGGTCACTGTTGGCTGAGACTATAAACAATCAAAGTGGAATTGTGTTAAATTAAGTACATACAGTAAATAACTGATAAAAAAAATGTACTTCAAACAAAGAAAACTAGCAATAGAAATATGGGGAAAAAAGATAGTTCTAAGTACAGAAAACATTTACTTAACGCTATGAAAAGATAATTACGTAACACTACAATAAATTCGTTAATCTTAGAGAAGCTCGAGCGAGACGTAAGGTTGCCCCCGACCCCGCCTTACGTCTCACTCCACAGTATTCATCCGCAACCTCACCACGCTGCACTATTCGCTCTTACGTAATTAACGCAAAAATGTCCGCATATAGAATTTTTTTACTTACATGATTTATGGGGACTGTCTGTACATGAAAAAAGATTCGCATTGCCGTCTACGACAGATACTGGTTAGTTAAGAGCATTCCAGATGGTAGAGTGCCGGATAACAAGAGATTTTACTGTATTTCAATACACCTTTATACTCTCCAATACACCAGTGTACTGCATTAGTCACAAATTGTAATGTTTTGTTTACGTGACAAACCTTACTAATAGGCATGTCGGGTGGTGGCGGATTTAACGACATTTATATTTACGCAATATAACCCAAAAAACTCTATTATGGATAAATTGATCGAGAAAGCCTGCTACGTGTTAAACTGACAGCTTGGTAGTTTAACCTTACAATGTAAAGCAATAGCCTATTCTAAAAAAAGAGCGTACAAAGAGATGGCGTCACTGTTTCTTCCTCTCAGATCACTTGCAAAATACAAGGAAACGATTGCAAACATGGCAGAGTGAGTAAAACTTGTCGCTGCGAATCACAGACAGACGCAAGTGGCATCTTATCTAGTTGATTCGCATCCATCCATTTTGGTCACTTGCTAAAGATATTTGTCAATTCCTGTAGAACTTAGTTTTCACCTTCTTGGTTCTTTCGGTAAAGTCACGTAGAAAAGCAGACCTGAAACACGGTAGGACGAACACCTCAGCCGTGGCAGACCATTGTTATAATTCAATGGGCTCACATGACATTGACTTCTCCAAGATGGAGGTTCTCTGCAAGCCATCTGGCTACCATGAGAGATTCATTCATGAGGTCATCCACATATACAAACAGAGACAATTTCAACCGAGAAGATGGATTCTGGCTCAGCAATCATTGGAAAGACATGATAAACCATTTCTGGTCTTGATTGATTGTGTTCACGTTTACGGTGACTTTCAGACCACAGTCCATTCGCTGGCATTGACTATATATCTTTTGTGTTCTCCTCACGGATCGGAGTCTTTGCCCTGCTGCAAGTCTCCTGCTGCCACTCTCCCATTACATGTTTCTTTGCCTCCTCTTGGTGCCTTTTACGTGACGGTCAATGGTATGGTGTATAGCAGATTGTATAATAATAAATAGTATAATAGTGTAATGTATAATATAATGTATAAGGTAAT